AATCGAATCGAGAAAAGTCAAAGTTCCTACTGAAGAATTGACAGACGTGTCCTTGGAACCAGGGAGAGAAAGAAAGTGGCTGGAGGCCCATACTGACTGGGATCCGTTCCACACAGGAGGAAAGAGGTGGCCTAAGCATGCTGGCTGTCCTTCAGGCCTCCTGGAACCTGAAGAATACAGCATTGGACCTAAATTTTCCTCCTGAAAGAGCACACATCTTCTGGAGACTCTTTTTAGTAGTGATCAGGATACAAGGCACTCTGGGAGATGTCCAAGTCAAGAGGGGAGAACGAGGCAGACCCAGGTGTGCTCAGAGGGTGGTAGGGACCCAGGCCTTGCAGCTCCCTGCCCTCCTGTCTGCTGGCCGGCCTGCCAGGACCCTCTCCTCCGTAGGGGTTGGCTACCTGATAGAAGTGGTCAGGAGCTGGGCATGCCATTCCCTTGGGCCCTGGACACCAGCCAACCTTCTGCCCTCCAGGTATGGAAGAGTTCTTGTATGCAAAGTCGGGCCATTATGTGGCTGGACTTTGAAGTGGTTGTTTGGTTGTGTTTTTTTAAATAGAGTACTCAAGTGATGAGCACATTGAAACAAATGAATACCATGAGAAAGCATCAGCTTTGCCAGGGAAATCAAGTTTATTAGGAGGTTACCCAGGCAGACACGGAGGAGGAAGGAAGAGACCCCAGTGAAGGAAAGGGAGCTCCAGGAATGATCTGGAAACGGTGGCAGTGGCTGAGGGCTTTAGGTGAGTTTCTTCACCGCCTCCCTGGAGCAGCTCCAGCCATGGACATTGTGTTTGGAGGCCCTGTCTGTTGCATGCACCAGAGCCGGCTCAGAGCTATCCTACTGCGGGTCCTGCATCCTTCCTCCTCCAGCAGTCCCTGGGCTCTAGTGCACGAAGGAATTGCAGGGCCCACAGCGGGGCCGGGGGACACAGGGCGTGCAGGGGGCGCAAGGACTGGGGACACAGGGCGGGCAGGGGGCGCAAGGATTGGAGACGCAGGGCCCGATGGGCTTGCCGCATGCGTTCGTTGTGGCGCAGGGGTTACAGGGCAGCCTGGAAACAAAGGAGATGGGGAAAGAAGAGTTAAGGAAGGCTCATAATCACATACCAGGGAGATCCCACAAGGGGAATGCCTGCCAGGGCTTAGCCTTGTCTGTAACAGAGGCAGTCACAGGCTCACCTGTGGCAAAGCTCACTGCCCAACAGGTAAGGGCCTGCCTATCACATAGCACCCAATGGGCCAGGTGGGAACTGAGCATCTCCCTGCTGGTTCCCACTCTACCCACCCCCAGCTGATGATCTTGAGCAAGACCCTTAACTTCCCTAGTAAAATGGGAAGACAAGCCAATGCAGCCTGCCCGGCGGTTACTATAAGGTGAAGATCATGTGTGGAGCCTCACCCTCTGTGCCACCTAGACCCATCAAATGTCAAGAATGGCATTGCTGACACATCAACATGATAAAATTAGCATGCAGAGAACTGACTGTCCAGTTCCAGTCCGTTCATCAAACAGGTCTGGCCCCGGCACAGTGTTCCATTGATCATGATGGGCCTAATCGGGTTCTGACTTCTGTCTGAGCATGTCTTTCCCAAAGGCATGACGTCTGTTCCAAAGGCTGCGATCTTTACACGGAGGCCGATAGAGTCGAGACATCCCTGTGCCCCTGGCTTCCCCCAAACCC